ATTACTGCTTTAAAATAGAGTTTGAGGTCAGAAGGGCTATTTCCCTACTTTTCTGTACCTATTCCCCATTATTCCCTTTGATAGCATAGATCTTTTGTTCCTCTGAATGAATTTTATTATTATTTGGTTGAGTTCCATAAATTATCACTTTGGTAGTTGGATTGGTATAATACCAAATTTGTAAGTTGACTTTGGTAATATGACCATTTTAATGTTGGCATGGCCCAGATATGAACACTGAATATTTTTCTAGCTAGTTAGTTTTTTCTTTATTTCTTTAAAGAATTTTTGCCATTGTATTCATATAAGTATTAAATGTATTTTAGTTGATTGACTTTCAGATGTTTTATTCATTTTGTAATTGTTTTGAATGAGAACCCTCTTTTTATTATTTTCCTGTATTTTGTTATAATTGCACAAAATGTTATTGGTTTTTGTGATTTTATTTTGTAGACTCTAAATTTACAGAAGATATTTATTAAGTAGTTAGGTGGCCCAGTGGATAGAGCAATGGGCCTGGAGTCAGGAACACCTGAGTTCAAATCTGACCTCAGACATTTAAGAGCTCTGTGTTTGTGAGCAAGTCATTCAACCTCTGACTCAGTTTCTACAAGTGTAAAATGGGGATAATAAGAGCACCTACCTCACAGTGTCATAGGATTGTAGTGGAATACTATTGTGCTATAAGAAGTGAAAAGCAGGAAGGTTTCAGAAATACCTGGGAAGACTTATATGAACTGATACAAAGTAAAGCGAGCAGAACCAGAAGAACATTGCACACAATAACAGCAATATTGTACCAATGATCAATTTGAAACACTTATCTATTCTGATCAATACAATGATCCAAGACAATTCCAAAGGACTCATGAAGAAAAATGCTATCTACATCTAGAGAGAGAACTGATGAACCCTGAGTGCAGATCAAATCATACTTTTTCACTTTATTTTTCTTGCTTTTTTTTGCAGTATGTCTAATATGGAAATATGTTTTGCATGACTTCATATGTATAATTGATATAATATTCCTCATCTCAATAGGTGGGGAAGGGGAATGAAGGACAGAGAGAATTGGGAACTAAATCAAAATTTAAAAAAAATTAATGTTAAAATAAAGTATAATTATTTTTAATCCTCTAAACATGAGATAATTTCATTGTTGTTTCTTTAGTAAGTATATTTGTTTACTTTTCTTGTGTTTCTTTTATTTGCTGTGTTATCAAGTCACATGTTCTCATTTCTGCCTTTTAAAGTTTCTTGTAGGAATACCTTAAATGCTTCTCTTTCATTGACTATCCATATCTTTATTTATGATTAGGCAAAGGCTTGTGTATAGTATACTATTTGAGGATGCAACTTGAGCTTCTTTGTTGCATTGATTTTCTTTGTTCAGTTTTGTATAATCCATCCCTAATGTCTTCAAGGATCATAGAGAAAGTCTAGTGCTGGTTTTGTTCTGTTTAGATGATTTTAGGAGAAGGAAGAAAATAGAGGGATAGGGAAATATACTGAGGAGGAAAGACAGATAAATGGGAGAGAACTCATCATCTCATGTAATTGTTCTGCATGAAGAAATGGCTAGGGTTGGGGAAAGGGTATGCCATGAACTTCACTTTCTGGTGAACCACATAAAGTAAGGTTGGACACACTCAGATACACAAATAATACATCACAGAAAGATATTCATTGCAACAAGGAACTAGGCAGAAACAGAGAAAGGGGTGAACATTTTTTAAGAGATAGGACATGTCTGATAGGTGAGAGAGTAGTCATAAGCAAAACAATGTCCAATGAGGATGGGTGGGTATTGAAATTAGAAGAAGGGATTAAAAAAGAAAAAAAAACAAAAGAATTAAAACCCCACAGTGGGGGAGGGTGGTCAATTGGAAAAGAAAAGAAACAATGGAGCAGAAATAGATCTCCTCACAAGTGTTAGGCAATTTTGTTCTTTCACCACTTTCTTTGTAAAGAGGAATACAAGTGGGAAGGGAGGAAGAAATACAAGAGAAGAGGTTGGAGGGAAATATATAACTAATGGTCTAAACATGAACCTGAATGAGATGAACCATAAAATTGAAGAGGATAGCAAAAGGGATTAGAAAGCAGAATATAACAATATATTGTTTAAATGGAAAACACTTAAAATATAAAGATGCACATAAAGTTGATAGTCTGAAATAGAATCTGTTATGCTTCAAGTAAACTCAGAAAAGCAGAAATAACTACAATGATCATAGACAAGGCAAGATGATAAGCAGGAAAACTTATGCTTAAAGGCAACATACATAAAGAATCCAAATCTATATCCATTTATGTATTAACTGAGCAGCACAACATCTAAATACTTAAAGGAAAAGTCAACGAGATTGTAGTGAGAAATAGTAAAATGATAGAGGTACTTCAATGTGCACCCTCATAGACTGTAAGTTCCAAGAAAAGTGGAACATGTCTTGGCTTTCTGTCTCCCTCAGTGTTCTTCCTGTAGTAGGTGCTTAATAAATGGATATTAAATTGAATTGACAAGATTAAATTCTTCTTTTTTGGAATCCCCAAATCCTAGAATTTGAAGGGACCTCAGAGATCACCTAGTTCAACTCTCACATCTTAGAGAAGAGGAAGGTGAAATATGAAGAGATAAAGACTTGCTCATGGTAATAATGAGAAGACAAAATAAGACATTTCTCAAATTAGAAAATGTAAGAAAGATGAATGGATAAAATGGAAATGATGAAAACTAACTCAATTTAATTTTTATTGATAAATTATGTTCTGACACATTATATAAAATCTTAATGATTTCACAGTTGAAATCCCTCACCATGTATAGCATAAAAGAATGGTTTCAAACGATGGTAAAAATGTATCCTCATACTTTGTTTTCTACTTACTAAAAGCAAGCAAAAAACAAAACAAAACAAAAAACACAGTTAAACCATGAGTTTGAATATGGATTTTGGTACTTACTTGCTTCCATGACTGTAGGTTTATCACCCCTTACTCTCTCTTGGCATCAGTAAAATAAGGGGGGTAAGCCAGGTGATCTTTTAATTTTTTCTATTCAGCTCTTAATCTTACAATCCTCTCTCCAGTTATCCATTTGAAACATGATTAATAGGCAACTCTATTAAGATGGATGATGGTCTTGGGAAAAAAAAACAACTCTACAATTTGCATTTGGAGATTTTAGTTACTGAAATAAAAATGTGCCTGATTATTCTTATCATGTCCCTCTAAAATCACTTTAACTATTTAAAAACCTGTCTGTTTTTACTGTTTAAAAAGTATTGTTTAAGATGTTATGTTGTGGGAAGATACTATTTCTATTAGAAAGATGTTTCTGTGATGAATACAGAGAAGCATGAAATGATTTCCATGAACTGGCAAAAAGTGAAGTAAGCAGAACCAGGTAAAGAACATATACAATGACTACAACAACCTGAGTGGAAAGAGCAATAACCACAGGACAATTGAAACTGAAAAGAAACAATGGAGCATGGAGAAACTTTCACATCTCAAATTTCCCCATCATGATTTCAATATATTGCAGTTGGCATAAAAATTAAATGAAAATTCTTGGGGAGTTTTGTGAATGCCACAGACAACACATGTAGACCAGCAGACAACACAGCCAATGATCAAATACTTAAGCCAAATTTTATAATAAGGTACTGTAAACACCCTATTAAAAAAAAGAAAAAAATCAGAATTCTTCTCTGGTACAAAAGGAGGGCCAAAAAGGTCTACATGGATTTTCCAGATCACAGGGGTGCCATGCCCCTAACCCCCATGATGTGGAAGGGATATAACTATATTGCAAAATTATAAAGAATAAGCTTGTCCCAAAGAAATATGAGAGGATATTACCCCCTTGTAGAGTCTAGGTCAACAAAGGTGGAATATTGCATATAATGTCAGATTTTTAAAATATATTAATTTATTTAGCTGAGTTTTTCTTTCTCTTCTTACTTTAGAAAAAAATTCTTTGTCTAAGTGATGGCTTTCTGAAAGGGGGAAAGGGAAAGATATGAAGGAAGTAGGAAATCTAGGTGATGTAAAAAAAGTTAAATAAAATCTATTTTTAAAAAGATATTTCTGTATATACTAATAATTTTGAAAAAAAATGATGAAAGAGGACAAATGCACTTGAATTAGTTTCTACAAGATAGAGCTAAAATGTTAAAAGTAGAAAGGGATAGCCTGTGCCCAAAAGAATGAACTGACAAAGAAACATATCATTTCAGATGTTGAAACATATAAATATAATTGTTCACTTTATGTTTCTGCCATGTGAAGGAGTCATCAAGCATGGAGAGAATAATGTATAAGAAAACTGGAAAGGTAAGAAGGGTTGTGAAGAGTTTTAAATGCTCAGCAGAAGCATTAATTTGATCCTGGGTGTAATGAGGAGACACTGGCAATTAGTATCCAGTTTACTTATTATTTCTCTGTCAATGTATATGACTATTTATTATTCTGATCTGAATATCAGTTCTTTCAAAATTCTTAAAAGGGTGGGCACACATAGACATGACAGCAGTGGATAATAAACCTTATTGGTTTGAATGCTGAAGCTCCTCCCCCTTTACTCAAGCTTCCCATTTGCTTTATGGCTTGGACCTATTGTTCTAGACCCCATTTGATGTTGTTTTTTCTCCTAACACAACTTATAAAACTACATTCTCTCTGTCCCTTGGATTTAGTGCCTCTTTCTATTGAGGATCATAATATAGAGATTTGTTAGGCAAAGTTGCTGAACATCTAGTGATAACATTATTAATCTCCAGTGATCACTGCAAATCATGTAGCCCCAAAGAATCTCCTCCCCCTTGGTTTAACTTTAGCACTTATGATTTTAGGCTGCAGAGTGTGATACATGGACAACACTCAAACTAAGAACACATAACAGAAAAAAAGATATTTATATTTCAACCATCTCATGAGAAAATCATCTTCATTCCTCTAACACATCAAATGAAACAATATTAATTTGAAAAGTTCATTTATTATATGTTAATATATACTTTCTGAAACAATAATGACAAAAATCTTTTCAGTACATTGACTCACCTTACAAATAAAACAAGAAAATAAGATTTCATCTGCTTTACACATAGGGTTAAATTAGTTAGTTTATCATAGCAAATGCTTGCCTTTCTTGCCATGTGTGAACATTCTGAAGAGGTCCTAGAAGATAAATCCTGCAGCTTACTAGTTCATCACTGTAAAAGGAATCTGAAAATTGTTTCAGTCTATGATGCTGACCTTTTCAAGTTAATCACTTCAAAAGTAAAACAGAATATTACTTTGTGGTCAGAAAACTCACAGATTATACTTTTACCCAAATTTTAAAAAAATACTCTTGATCAAATTTCTATTTCAATTTGTTTTAATTTATGTTTAAGGTTCAGATAAAAAGTCAAATTGAACACAGATTAAACACTAAGATGATAATTCTTTCAGTTTTCCAAGCTATTTTGGATAAAAGTTAAAATGCATACAGTGGGGCATATACTTTGAAGATGCCATTCACTGCATCAGTTTCTACAAACTAGAACCCTAAAATTATGGTAGCTAATAGAAACATTCCATTTTCATAGCAAAGTGCATTCACAATATTCCACTACTAAAAATAGCACATGAAATTATATAGTTCAAAATAACTATTTTCAAAGCAACTTTTTAGTTTAAAAAAATAGAGTTAATAAGATTCTATTATCTTTACAGCTAGAGGACTGTATTTCAGCTTTTTTTTGCTTTATTAAAATACATTACAAAATATAAAATGTGTATTTGTTTTTAATTTGGAAATTAAAAAATAGTGAAACTCCAAAATACAGGATAGTGAATTTTAACGCAAAAGCCATTATAGGTTTACTTTTGTCCCACTGAAGAATTGGAAAGAATAAAAGAAGTAGTGTCATACATTAGAAATAGCACCAGCCTTGGAATCAGGAGACCTGGGTAATCAATCTAAGTCAACTCCTCTGAGCCATAGTTTCCTCATCTGTAAAAAATAAATTGGCTGGAGCAGATGATCTCTAAGGCCTCTTTCAGATCTAATAGTGCCTGTCCATGGTTTCACATGCAATTGTAGAGATATCTTCATTATTTTCATAGCAAAGCATTCAATTTTGTAAGATTAAAGAATCTATAAACGTCTGTCCAAACTAAAATTTATTCAGGCAGATTTTAGATATCCAAAATGGGGGGAAAAGTTTAGAACTGACAATTATATTGAGAAAAGGAACTTTCCACATAGCTGATTATTGTAAACATTTGAGAACATTTTACTAAACTGTAACTTGGGTCTTAAAATGTAAAGCTCTCCCAATAAACAGAAACATAAAAAGTAACTTTTTATCTCACTGATCAATTTTTCCCTGGAGTATGAAAAAAATAAAAGCTATGTAAAAAATAAAAAATAAAGTGCCATACATTAACATTAAAGTAAGTACAGAAAAGGATTATATACACAAACAAAAAGCAAATGACAGTTTTCTGCACTGAATGTTTTTTCAAATAAAAATGCATCATACAATACTGGCTCCCATATACTCCCACATATCTGTGGTCACCCAAAACTTAATGAGTTAGAAAGAAAGACAAGAAAGATAGCACTTTTTCAGTGACATAACTCACATGTATTACAAGGGGCCTATCACAAATAATAATGATAATAAAGTAGATGCTTTCAGACTGTACAGTTTTTGTGATAAATTGACTATTTCTGTAGATTTGTAGTTTTTAAATCCCCTCTCAGAATTCAATCAGGTCTCCTAACAATTGTGACCAATCCATTGCCTGAAGATTATTTTTCTGTTTGATAAATTTGATTCAATGCCACTGACAGGCTGGACAAAATATGTCCATTCATTCTACAAATATTGATGGAGTTCCAAGTTTTAGACTCTAGTGACTGATCCTTCTTGTGTAACAGAGTAGTTGATGAATTGTGCCAATGTAGCTATGTTATAAAAACAGTTTCATTAGATTTTATGGGAGTGAAGAACCAGCAGGTTGGAGAGGAACAGGGGCATGAGGGTATTTTGGGGTGTTCTAAGAAGTGCTGCTATCAAAAGCTGAAGGAGAAAAATATTTCTTGATGAAAGCAAACTCTGCACATACAGCAGTAAAAATGTTTTGCCATCTCAAATTTCTTGATTAAAACCAGAGTAGAGCTCTTCTCCCTAGTTTTAAATACATAAACAACTTGTTGATTTAAAAATATGATGGTTTAATATTCTACAGATATAGTGTGGAAAAATTATTAGGATTTTTCCTGTAATTTTCACTGGAAAACATTCTAATATAGATGTCAAAATGGTCTGTTAGGGCAGAGTCATTTCCAGAAGGGAAGTAGTTTTTCCTTGGATTAGTGATGCTTGGAATTTGGAGGGTTGTAAATCCAGTCAATTATAATGAGTGCCATGCTTCCAATCATAAAGATGATGCCAACAACAAGGAAAATGGCAGCCTAGAGTTGAAAAAAAGGATGAAATATCATTAGAAAATATGGAAAGAATGTAAGTAACTTGAGGCTTACTCACTTAGCATAGTTTGGGTTTTATGACTTGATAAAGTGAGGTATATTGATAGGTATATTAGTCTTTATTTCAGTAAGGCAGTCTTTGCCTCATCTGCTCAGAGCTCATAGAAGTTTTGTTAAAAACTTTACTACTGAATCAGTCACACAGAATATTAGCAGGCATAAGAGATCCAGTAAAATCCTTTTGTTATTGATTACCCAAGCATTAGGATTAACAAGTAATTACACTTAACATGACAACAACATATTTACAATTTAGTACCTCTACTGAAGTCCTATCCTGGTATTCCTTCTGGCATGATGGTCACCTTGGCTATTCAAAGGCTGTGCTAGAGAAATGAAATCTCTTGCAGGACTTAAAAGTTGTAAAGTTTTCAAGTATACTTCTACTGAAGAATTTCTCATCTGTCTGAACATTGACAGGACTAGGTTCATCACCAGGTTGCCTACAGACTGATTACTCTGGGGGGTCATAGCTATCCTTAAATACTGTATACAAAATTATTGGGGGGTTGTGGTATGAAAAAATTACCCATATTGAGGAAATTTCAGGTCCTTGGAGTGTTTAAATAAGTTTATTAGAGATTGCTTACATTGACTTTTGGCCCTGTCTAAAAATTCCATGTAGATCTCCTTACTAGAGAATTTGCCTAAATATTTTAATTAATCTAATCAGTCCTGCATAATCTTATAAGTCCTACACAGAAAGAACTTCTTTTGTGGTGTATTTATATGCATGTATTCTTTCAAATGAATGTGCAAGATTACACTGATTTATTTGTTCAAATGACCAGTTTCTTGCAGAGGTTGTATTTGCTAACCAGTTGAAGAATTTCATGTTTCCAAAAGCAGAATATCCTTATAGTAAATTGTTATTAGTTTTAATTATATTTTTATGTCAAATTTTCTTCAGTATTAACATATCCTTTAATCCAATGACGTTTCCAAAATTTAATGGAAGTCAATGGGCAAATATTATTCAATATACAAATATTCAGTTTGCAAGCAATCTTTGGATTGGAGCAAATATGTTGAATAAGCGTTCTTCCTTTCATTCTGCCTAAGTATGCATGATTGCATTTGTATCTGCTCCCCAGTCAAGTCTGGTAAGTCAAGGAAATCCTTCTTCATTATCATCTTTCTTTGAAGGAGGTGATGTGTGTATTTGTGCATACGAGTTTGTGCATATTTGTGTGGGGGTGTGTGTATGTGTATGTAATATGGTATGAAATGGACTTGGTAGAGATGCTGAAGTTGCATTTTAATTATAAATGTTTCATAATAAATCAAAAAGTTATAGCCTTTGAACTGAGTTGCTAGAGGTCACCAAAAGATAAAGCAGCACTAAGGACAAGTGATGAATTTTTCTCAATTTATTGAATATTCAGTATATTATTATTACTTGAACATTGATAGAAATAGTCCTAATGTATTTTTAGTCTATGTTCAGATAAATCATATATTAAATAATCATGCTAATTCAAATTAAGTGGCATGACGCAGTAGATTCCAATACTAAGTCTTTCACTCAGTAGCTCTAGGATTTGCACATCATTTTGAACTTTCTTTGCCAATGTTTCCACAAGAGTAAAATATGAGGATTGGGGCAGATGATACTTTAGATTCCTTCCAGAAATTGGGATTTACATAAACTATTATTAGCCCAAGGTCACACAAATCAGAGTGAAGACTAGAACCTAAGTACCCTGATTCACAGATAAAAAAGAAAACTGAGGGACAAAAAGAAATAATGATGTTATCCCTTTATTAACTCTAATTGCCCAACAGCATGAAAACAGATTGCATATAACAGAGAAGAATAAGAATTGCTGGAACTCCAGGTCATATGTAGGAAGGGAATTTTGAAGCAACATGACCTATAGCACTGGAACTGTCCTGAGAAGTGTCAAGGCTCCAAGATAAGGATTTAGGAAAAGTTAGAAAGACACATTCTACTACAGCACAGGTAGAAAAGCATGCCTCAAAGATTGGCAGATACAGCTCAGGTTCAAGAAACACTACAGAATTTCTTTTTTTCTCCCCATTCAAAGACTCTTGTCCCTGACTGTGCCTCTGAATACTGTAAAGAACATGTCTTGTAAAACTTAAAAGTGCTTTGTAAATATGAGTAAGCAATAAAGTTTCCTTATGTTTACCTGACTGAAAATAAAATCCTCAGTATTGTTGACAAATGGGAATGTCTTATTCTGAACAAAATTCTTAACAGTATTAAAGGATCTATTCCTATTTCTGGGTAACCAAAACAGTTATTGCAATTCTTTGTATTTCATTTGCCAAAGACAGTGCTCTCAATGCACATTTGTACATTGATAATAGGAAAGTTTCACTGATGCTTGACACACTGCAGAGTAAATAAGGCCTGTGAGTTTTTATTTGTAAAGTTCTGGAATCATCAGTCTCTAAATTGTGTGTGTGTGTGTGTGTGTGTGTGTGTGTGTGTGTGTATGTGTAAAGGTGAAGGAAAGCACCTCACCCTAAGTTGAGATATTTTAAATGTGTATGTTTTTGATACTTTAGGGTCTTCATGTAGCATTTTTTCCCCTTAGCAATATGTATATTTTCTTTTTTATATAAGAAAGAAGTTGAAGATCAACTTTTGATTGAAGGAAATCACAAGATCTGCTGATTTCTGGTTGACTTACCCCAATCTTCTGAGGTGATCGTAAAGGTTCTTTTTTAACTAGTCGAAGGTAAAAAGCAGCTGGAAGAATGAAAATTAGCATTGTAGCAGAAGATGCACCTGAAGAAAAATCAAGGTATTTGGTAAAATTATTAATGATGTGAATGATAAGTATGCTACTCCACTACGTGTGGAAGCCAAAAACAAAATCACCCAACCCGCTGAAATGCACTGTGAGGCACTTAATTTATATGTTTTGAATGAGAGCCTTCATTGCGTAGAGAACTTGTCTTTCAAGTCAGGAAAACCTGGGTTCAAGTCCTCCTTCTCACACATACTCTCAGCCCCTTCAGGTAAACCTTCCTCCTCAGTAGTTTCCATACCAATGAAATCACAAGTTCATTCCAAAGAAGAGAAGGTTGAATGATCCCTGAGCAGACATGCAGTGACAAGTTACCCAAAAGGAGTAAATTGTCCATAAAAGCCAAGTGCTTTCCTTTCTGAAGAAATTTTTCAACTCTCAAATTGTTGGATAAATTTCCATGTCCTGCTGACAAAATTTCTGTCCTTTTACATCTTTCCTAGAAAATTTATATGGCCTCTGAGTTTGTAGTCTAAGAAGCACTGTGGCGCATGGACTGGCAACTAATGATGTCTAAGATCTAACCTCAAATGTTATCACTAAACACTTTATGTCTTTGGATTTTCCTGTACCTCAGTTTCCTTATCAGTAAAGTAAGGGGATTGGGCTAATAATGATTGCAATCATATTCTACTCTACAATACTATGGTTCTTGAAATATAATGCAATAGAAAAAAACCACAGTTTGGCCACTTGATACCTCTGTAACTACAGACAAGTCTTTGTAGATCCTGCTTTGTGAACACTGCCACAGAAATATAGAAGTAATTTTTTAGTAATCAAGAAAGTTCTGTCCCAGAATTCAACACTTTACTGATATAGAACTTCTGGGAGAGATTTCTGGGAAAGAATTGGAAGGTCTAGGCACATGGAATTGGGTGGGGCCATGTGATCTGTGGGCACCCTGAATCTCTAAGCCTGTCATGTGGAAGGAAAGGGAACAAGCATTTATCAAGCACTTACAATGTACTGGGCACTGTACTAAGTGATTTATAAATATTATTTAATTTGCTAGTTATAATAACCTAGAAGGTAAGTGCTATTATTATTATTCCCACTTGACAGTTGAGGAAATCAAAGTGAACAGAAATCAAGTGACTTGCCCAGGGTCACAGCTAGTTAAGCGTGTTCTAATCCCTGAGTTTATTTGAGTATATATAAGTATATTTGGAAAATCTCAGGAGAATGCCATTATGTATGTATAAGAACAACTTCAATGGACTTTGACACATAGATTATCCATACTATCCCTTTATCTTTAAGTGCCAATAGGATCTTGAACAGTTACAGTTTAAACATCATTCTTTGAGGAGTCTGAGGAGACTGGGTTTAACAGGCATTCTGAAGAGTCAAGGATGAAGAGGGACTGAGTAGAGCATAAGAGAGGGAATTAAAACAAACTTCCTAAGAGAACTGTTTTAATTCTTACCTTGCAATGAAACATTAATTGAAACAAAAAAAATTCTGAGAGATTTTGGTTGCTATTCTGAGAGAACAGAAAGATGGAAATGTGTTTCCAGAATTGAGAAATCAGCAATTATGTTAATGGTTAAAGGTGACTTTGACTGTGACTTCTCACAAGTGAAAATATTGTAATTAATTATAGTTTTGTTTTATAGTTTGTTACATTGTTAGTAAATTGTGTAGGCAGTGTAACATTGACTCAACCCTAGGAGATTAATGGGGGTCGATTTTATGTGTGTGTGTGTGTGTGTGTGTGTGGGTGTGGATGTGTGCACTAAACAAAGAGAGACAGAGTTAGAGTCAGACACAGACAGAAAAAGAGAGAGAAGCAAAAGCTTTGGGAAAAATGTTTCTTCAGTTCACTTAATATATTTTATAAACTGGGGTGAAGGCTACAAGCTAATAGATTATAGCAATTTATTAGGAAATGCCAAAACTTGCTTCTGATTTCCTTAAAAGCTAGATTTAAAAAAAAAGGATAGAGAAAATAAGCTAGTAGAATGTAGAGAAATGATATGTGACCTTAATGTTAAAGATCATATGATTAAAAATTTATAAGAGAAGCAGATTATATATACCTCTTATAGCATTGAGTATGAAATGTATTCTTAACCAAATAAAAGAAAGAGGCAATTACAAAAGATAAAATTTAACTTTGATTACTTGCATAGATAAAATTAATGTACCTAAGATAAGAAAGTAAGAGATCAAATGGGAAAAAATTTATAAACTTCTCTGATAAGAGTTTGGTATCTAAGATATAGAAATAATTAATAAAACATGTAAGATTAATAGCCACTGGATAAATGGTCAAAATTTATTAACAGTTCTCAAAAGAAAAGCTGCAATACAGAAGTACCAACAAATCTCAAATGCATCTTCCCCCATTATTCCAAAAATTTCAGCTTGGTGAAAAGGGGAGAAAGAATAAGCATTTATATAGTTATACTATATACTATGTGCAAAGTGCTTTACAAATATTATATCATTTAATCCTCACAATAATGTGAGGTATGTGCTATTATTATCCCTCTTTTACAGTCGAGGAAACTAAGGCAAACAGAGGTTAAGTGACTTACCCAGAATCACACGCCTATTGAGTGTCTGAGGCCAAATTTGAACTCATGTATTTCTTGACTCTAGGCCTAGTACTCTATCCACTGGGTCACCTAGCTGAAACTAGTGTTTTATCATTTTGCAGTTCTACCAACAATGTATCAGTGTGCCTATCTTTTGACAACCATTCCAAAAATAACATTGCTATTTGAGAGTGGGGTGGGGTGGGGTGGTATGTTTGTGAGTTTTCAGGGGGTGGCACAAAACTAATAGTAAGAGAAATACAACAAATAGACCATATTGATGCTAAATCCTGCTACATATGTATATTTGGAACATCCCATGTTATACTGTAAATTGTTGACTATACTTCTCTAGATATAAACTGAAAAATGAGGGGATTTGGCTAGATGACTTGAAGTCTCTCTGCATTTCTAAATCTGTAATCCTATAATCTCATGGTTTATTTAATCATTCTACCTAGAGAAGGATGAGAGTCTGAATTCGGTAATTAAAAGCATTTCTGAAACCTACCTATGAAGCCAAAAATGTATTTTAAAGTTGGCACAAGAATTACGAGGACATTATTAAGTGCAAGGAGAATTGCTGCAATCAGAAAGTGTCTTATCCAACTGAAGGGCCTTTTGGGGAATAACAGTGTGATCACTGATGTGCGGATCTGTAAAGGAAACATGAAAAAGAAACAGTATGGATTTTTAGCTTTTTCTAATTGTTTATTTTTAAATATTTTAAAACACATTAACTTTGAAAAATCTTGAAACCTTTCCCTCCTGCCTCCTGAAAAGATCTAAATGCTGTTTTGATGTCTAAAGATGTCCCATTAATTTTTTCTCTTTGAATATAGTTCAATTTTATTCAATGAGTTTCCAGAACGCATTAAGCAGTTTAACTTAATTTTTAAAAAATTTTAAAGGAAGAGGGAGAAAATATATATAACACTGAGAGGGATAAAAATCTTCAGGGGTTGATTAAGAAAGCTGCTGCCCTTACTCTTATGAGATAAGCTGCCAGCCAGGGTTCAATGCTAAGGAAGATCAGTAGCAATATTTGATTTTCATTGGATGTTACTGAAGAATTTTGTGAAAATCAAACTGAGATTTGGAAATGTTCTTACTTCCTATTGGTATGGTCATATGTGTGTGTGTGTGTGTGTGTGTGTGTGTGTGTATTTGAGAAAGATCCCTCAGAGAATTCATCATTGTTTCTTTACTCATGCAATTTTGAAATAAGTTAAAAAAAAAGTCAAGAACCGTTTCATTTGCCACAGCAGATAGTATTGTATTTTAATAACTAGATAAAGAGAGTCTACAAATGAAACCACTGAAAACTTACAGGCCCCTGAACTAGCTGTGAAAACAAAAGAATATAAAAGCTTGAAGTATCAGGCTTTTATCCTCACCCCCATCTAGAGGTAAGTAGAGACCAACTCTAACATAAAGTCCAAAGTTAAGAAATAGGCTAGAAAGATGAGCAAACAATAAAAAGAATCTAACCATTAAAAGATTCTATGGTGACAGGGAAGCTCAAAACACAAACTCAGAAGAAGACAATGATGTGAAAACATCTACAAAGCTTCAAAGAAAAATGCAGACTGAATACAAGCTAAGAAGAGTTCCTGGAAGAGCTAAAGAAAGGTTTTTTAAAAGCAAAAATAGGCCAAGATGGCAGAGGGAAAGCAGTGACTTGCTTGAGCTCTCCCCCAAACCCCTCCAAATACCTATAAAAAATGACTCTAAACAAATTCTAAAGCATCAGAACCCACACAAACACAGAGTGAAACAAATTTCCAGCCCAAGACAACCTGGATGGTTGATCAGAAAGGTATATTGCGCCGGGTGGGGTGAGGAGTGCAGTTCGGTGTGGGCGTGCAGGCTGCAGTGACCCTGGAGCAGTACTCAGAGTACTGAATCATGGGCAGCTGTGGCAGTTTCCAGACTTCTCAACCCACGAATGCCAAAGACAACTTAGAAGGTAAGTGGGAAAAGTCTGTGACTGCGGTGAGATAAGCTAGGTTTCAGCCACAAGTCCTGAGAACGGGCCATGGCTGCCTCCTGAGCTTCTGGCCCACAGACTGAGGGGGAATTGAGTGACTGATTAGAGGGGGAGTCACAGGGATCTCTTTGCCAGTGCTGAGGCAGGAATCTCTTGCTTGCCCGTGCTTGGATCTGGGTCACAGTTCTGAGGGGGGATCCTAGGGCAAGGAGGAGTGCTGGCATGGTGGAGCTTGCTGAGGCGGTAGAGAGGAAACACCTCACCCCTTATCATACCACCTTGGAAGAACTGAAAATTTACAGGTCCGTAGAAGTATCTCTGAAAACAGCTGTACAAACCCTCAAAACTTGGGACGATACATTCTCCATATTGGAAGCAGACTCTTACCTTAACAAAGAGTTTAAAACTCAAGTAATTGGCCGGGATCATGAGTAAGCAGTGCAAAAAGAGTCAGACTTTGATGACAAAGAAGATCAAAACATATAGCCAGAAGAAGACAACAAAGTCAAAGCTCCTACATCCAAAGCCTCCAAGAAAAATATGAATCAGTCCTAGGCCTTGGAAGAGCTCAAAAGCGATTTTGAGAAGCAAGTAAGAGAAGTAGAGGAAAAACTGGGAAGAGAAATGAGAGTGATGCAAGAAAATCATGAAAAACAAGTCAACAGCTTGCTAAAGGAGACCCAAAAAAATACTGAAGAAAATAATACCTTAAAAAAATAGCCTAAACCAAATGGCAAAAGAGGTCCAAATAGCCAACGAGGAGAAGAATGCCCTAAAAAGCAGAATTGGCCAAATGGAAAAGGAAGTCCAAAAGATTACTGAAGAAAATACTTCCTTAAAGATTAGAATGGAGCAATTGGAAGCTAGTGACTTTATGAGAAATCAAGACACTGTAAAACAAATCCAAAAGAATGAAAAATTACAAAACAATGTGAAATATCTCATTGGAAAAACAGCTGACCTGGAAAATAGATCCAGGAGAGGTCATTTAAAAATTATTGGACTATCTGAAAGCCATGATCAAAAAAAGAGCCTAGACATCATCTTTCAAGAAATTATCCAGGAAAACTGCCCTGATATTTTAGAACCAGAGGGCAAATAGAAATTGAAAGAATCCACTGATCACCTCCTGAAAGAGATCCCCAAAGGAAAACTCCTAGGAATATTGTAGACAAATTCCAGAGTACCCAGGTCAGGGAGAAAATATTACAAGCAGCCAGAAAGAAACAATTCAAGTATTGTGGAAACACAATCAGGATAACACAAGATTAAGCAGCTTCTACATTAAGGGACCACAGGGCATGGAATATAATATTCCAGAGGGCAAGGGAGATAGGATTACAACCAAGAATCACCTACCCATCCCCTTCAGGGGAAAAATGGTCATTCAGTGAAATAGAGGACTTTCAAGCATTCTTGATGAAAAGACCAAAGCTGAATAGAAAATTTGACTTTCCAATACAAGACTCAAGTGGAACATGAAGAGGAAAATAGGAAAGAGACTTATTAAGGTTGAACTGTTTACATTCCTGCATGGAAAGATGATATTTGTAACTCATGAGACCTTTGTCAGTATTAGGGTAGTTGGAGGGGAAAAATTATATGTATGTATATAGATAGATAGATAGATAGATAGATAGATAGATAGATAGATAGATAGATAAAGGGCATAGGGTGAGTTGAAGATGAAAGGGTCATATCTGGAGAATAAAATTAAGGGGTGAGAGAGGATTATACTAGGAGAAGGAGAAAGGGAGAGTTAGAATGGGGTAAATTATCTCACAAAAAAATAGAAAAGAAAAGACTCTTACAGTGGAGGGGAAATGGGGAAAGTGAGAGGGAATGAGTGAATCTTATAGGATTTGACTTAAGGAGGGAATAACATACACACTCAAGTGGGTATGGAAATCTGTCTTACCCTACAGGAAAATAGGGGGGGAAGGGGACAAGAGAGTAGGGGGATGATAGAGAGGAGGGCAGATTGAGAAAGGGGGTAATCAGAAGCAAATACTTCTGAGGAGGGACAGGGTCAAAAGAAAGGATAGAATAAATGGGGGGGCAGGATAGAATTAAGGGAAATAGTTTTTCACAGCATGTCTACTATGGAAATGTTTGGCATAACTGCACACATATAACCTATATTGAGTTGCTTGCCTTTTCAATGACGGTGGGTGGGGAGGGAGGAAGGGAGAAAATTTGGAACCCAAAGTTTTAAAAACACATGTTTAAAAAAATATTTTCACATGCAACTGGGAAATAAGAAATACAGGAAATGGGGTACAGAAATCTATCCTGCCCTACAGGAAAAGAGAAGGGGAAGGGGATAAGAGAAGGAGGGAAGAGATAGAAGGGAAGGCAGACTAGGGGAAGGGCTATTCAGAATGCATCCCATCTTGGGGTGGGGGAAGGGGCGAGATGGGGTGAAAATTTGGAACTCAAAATCTTGTGGAAGTAAATGTTGAAAACTAAAAATAAATAAATTTATTAATAAAAAAAAGCAAAAATAAAAGATTTTCAAAATCAAATAAGAGCAATAGAGAAAAGTTGGGGAAAGATATGAAAACAATGCCAGAAAATTATGAAAAGAGAAGTAACAGCTTAGTAAATGAGACACAAAAATACTAAAGAAAATAGTTCCATAAAATCAGAATTAGCCAAATGGTAAAAGGATACACAAAACCTCAACAAAGAAAGTAAGTCCTTAAAAATTACAATTGGTCCAATGGAAGCTAACAACTCCATGAGACATAAAGAAACAATAGAACAAAACCTGAAGTGAAAAAATAGAAGAAAATATGAAATATCTCATCAGAAAAACAACTAACCTGGGAAATAGATCAAGGAGGGAAAATCTGGCAATTATTAGACTACCTGAAATCCATGAGAAAAAAATGATCATATCTGATTATTTGGAACCCAAAGTTTTAAAAACACCTGTTTAAAAAAAATCATATCTGATTATTATATTTCAAGAAATTATAAAAAGCTGCCAGGTAAAGTAGAAAATAGTATGGTAGAAACTAGGTAAAGACCAACATCTTACACCATATTTCAAAATAAAATCAAAATGGGTACACAATTTAGATATAAAAGCTGATACTATGAGCAAACTGGGAGAGCAGGAAATAGTTTACTGGTAAGATTTATGGAGAATGGAAGAATTTATGACCAAACAAGAGATAGAGAATATTATGAAATGCAAAATGGATAATTTTAGGGGCAGCTAAGTGGTGTAGTGGATAGAGCATGAGCCCTGGAGTTCAGAGGACCTGAGTTCAAATCTGACATCAGACACTTACTAGCTGTGTGCCTCTGGGCAAATAACTTAACCCCAATTGCCTAAAAAAAAAAATGGATAATTTTGATTACATTAAATTGAAAAGTTTTTGCACAAAGGCAATGCAACCAAGATTAGGAGGGAAGCAGAAACTGGGAAAGAATTTTTGCACTCAGTGTCTCTGATAAAGGCCTCATTTCTAAAATATACAGAGAGCTGAGTCAAATTTATAACAAAGTCAAATTTATAACCCAATTGATAAATGATCAAAGGATATGAACAGGCAGTTCTCAGATGAAGAAATTAAAGCCGTCTATAGTCATATGAAAAAATACTCTAAATCACTATTGATTAGAGAAATGCAAATCAAAATGACTCTGAGGTACCATATCACACCTATCAGATTGGCTAACATGATACAACAGGAAAATTATAAATGTTGAACAAGGTGTGGGAAAATTGGAACACTAATGCATTGTTGGTGGAGTTGTGAACTGATCCAACCATTTTGGAGAACAATTTGGAACTGTGCCCAAAGGGCTATAAAAATGTGCATACCCTTTAACCCAGCAATACCACTTCTAGGGCTATATCCCAAAGAGATCATAAAAATGGGAAAGGGACCCACATGTACAAAAATATTTATAGTAGCTCTTTCTGTGGTGGCAAAGAATTGGAAATTGGGGGGATGCCCATCAATTGGGGAATGATTGAACAAGTTGTAGTATATGAATGTAATGGAATACTATTGTGTTATAAGAAATGATGAGCAGGTAGATTTCAAGAAATCCTGGAAAGACTTACATGAACCGATGCTGAGTGAAGTGAGCAGAACCAGAGAACATTGACACAGTAACAGCCACAATGTGAGATGACTAATTTTGATAGACTCATCTCTTCTTAGCAATGCAAAGATTCAAGACAACTCCAAAGGACTCATGATGGAAAATCTATCATGATGGATTTTCATGTCATCCACATCCCGAAAAAGAACTATGGAGTCTGAATGCAGATCAAAGCATATTATTTGCTTTCTCTCTTTTCTTTTTACTTTTTTTTTGTTCATTTCTTCTTTCTCGTGGTTTCTCCCATTGGTTCTACTTCTTTACAACATGACTAATGTGAAAGTAGGTTCAATATGAGTGTATGTGTACAGCCTGTATCAAATTGCACAATGTCTTGGAGTGGAGGGAGAGGAGAAATAGGGAGAAAATTTGGAACTCAAAATCTTATGAAAGTGAATGTTGAAAACTAAAAATAAATATATAATTTTTAAAAAAGAAATTAGAGAAGAAAAGTGCCCTGATATCTTCAGAGCAGAGGGCAAAAGAGAAATTGAAAGAATCCTCCAATTATCTCCAGCTAGTACCAATATAGATAGGTGGCTATTTTAGAAAGCTGCCTGGGGCACTGAGAAATCAAATACTTGTTCAGGGCTATTCAATCAGTATGAGTCAGAGGCAGATATCCTGACTCCAAGTCTCACTTTTTATTTACTATATAGACTCCTTAAACAGTAGCTGTCAAAATTGCTAGCATTTGCTGATGCAGAACAACGATGATATGGGCTAGAAAAATGTAGGCAGATAACTCAACAGTTCTTAAATATTTCAAAAAAATCTAAATAAAAAAAATCAATCCCCAAGGTTTTTTTCCTTACCACATTCTCCTCATTACAATTTATTAAAAGTGTCTAAGTTTATCTCTGAAAGATTGTTTGAGACCAAAATTGTTGGAAACAATGTAAAATCATTACTAAGTTCCAGTTTACTATACCTTTGCTTGCAAGTCTAAACTTACATACCTTAGAAAACAAAGAATTTAGATCAAGGTAAGGGAAATTTGTGGTCTAATAGTGATAAAATAATGTTCATATTCTACACAATTATTATTACTTTCAAGAAGTTTAGTAGCATTTATTAAAGGAGTAATCAGTTTAAAGAAAATACTGTTATTTCCCTGCTTCTTCCGAAGATATATCAACTAGACCTAATGGAGGATGATAAAAGCTGTGAATGGCATGGCTAGTTAAAGTGCCCCTTTTCTATGAAGGAGAATATAAGACCTAACAAGGAAACTGACTGTGAAGAAATCAGTCTAGTTTTAGCTCTGTTATTGACTCTAGACACTCAGCCAAAGAGAAATACAGCAATTAAGTCAGAAGGGAGAAGACTTAGAAACTGTAGTGTCATGAAAGAACACCAAATCTAAAGTCAGAGGACCTGGTTTCATATGTCTAAAGATCCCTTATAGTTCTAAATCCTACGATCTGATATCTTCTCCAAGGTCTAAGGCTCCTTGGTCAAAAGCCTTTGATATGCACATGCTCCTACATGTTTCTTATCAAGTCAACACACATTTATTAAGAAGGTACTATGTGTCAGGCACTATTTTAAGTGCTGGAGATACAAAGAAAGGCAAAAAAGAGTACTTTCTCTCAAGTAGATCAGTATAATGAGGGAGACAACATACAAACAACTATGTATAAATAAGATATATACAGGATAAATTGAAGATGATATTAGAGAAAAGGCACTGTCATAAGGGAGGATGCCAATGTCACTATATTATAGAGTACTGGAGGGCAGTAAGGTAAAAGAAGACTGGAAATATAGGAAAGAAACAGGTTATGAAGGACTTATTTATATTTGTTTCTGATGGTAACAGGAAGAAGCTAGAATTCATTTAATTAAATAGATGATATGGTCAGATTTGTGCTTTAGGAAGATCAATTTGATATCTGAGTGGAAGAGAGATTAAGTGAGGAGAGCATTACCAGGAGGTTACTGTAATGGTCCTGGCATGAAGTAAGAAGGGATTGCACCAGGATATTGGCAGTATCAGAGTAGAGAATGGGGCATATACAAGAGATATTACAAAGGACTTGGCAACCCATGCCACGATGGGGGAAGGGTGCAGTGAGAGAAAATGAAGAGTTGACGGAGACATCTAGGGTTCCATTCTAAGAAGATAGGTGTACCCTGGACAGTAGTAGCAAAGCTAATCAGAGAGAAGAGTTGGGGAGAGGAGGGAGTAATAATGAATTCAGTTTTAGACATCATGAGTTTCAGATGTCTATGAGACACCTAGCTTGAGAGGTCCAAAAGGCAGTTGAAAATGTGAGACTGGACAGGAGAGAAGTTAGGGTTAGATCTAATATAGACATAGATCTGAAATCTATAGATGTGAGAATTATCTACAGAGAGATGATAATTGAATCTAGAATTAGTTCTGGGTCCACTGCTGAACAGACCAGCTAGTCTATAGAAGGAAGGAGAAGGAGGAGGAGGAGGAGAAAGAGAACAAAAAGGAGCCAAAGAAAATTTACTGGCCTTCCTGAACTACTGATGAGTCAGATGGATAGATCTGGAGAAAGTTTGGACAAAAATTCAGGAGACCTGGCTTCTAGTTCTAACTCTGCCACTAATTTGCTCTTTGACTTTGGGAAAGTCAATTAACTTCTCTGAGCCTCCATTTCTGGAAAATAAGAATGCCCAATAGTTGTACTATTTACCTTATAAGATTGTTGTAATAATCAAATGAAAATGTATATAAAAAATACCATGGTCATAAAGTCTCCTACCACACTAGAAGTCACCACCACAATTATATTACCTTTTCAGAGTGCTAGTCATATGTTCAGCACTATACAGAATGTTCTGTGCAGCATGACATTAATTATTGAATTTCTTGGTTTCCCTTTCCTCTGAGATAAATGAGGAAATCCAGACTTTTTTGAAAGGCATTAATTTTACAAGAATTTTATGTACCCTTCATTCATTTTATCTGTGTCCTCACCAGAAGGGAGTAATACAGTATTTGTTAAGGAAAGTAAATCTGCCAATTCCAAGGTGAAGATAGGACTCATTTGGGAGGGGATATTTTGTTAAGGGCTGTTAACTAAATGGTAACATGTCTAAAGAAACAAATAATGATTTACTATAACTCTTTGCTCTTGAAATTTGATTCTAATGTCTATTTGGCTTCATAGGAAACTGACTTCTTATCCAAAACTGAGGGGTAGCCCTGAAGAAAGCTTTTTGGATGCCGTTGCCAATACTGCCAAAGGGTAACAATGAAACCTTTATATTATTTGAAGATATGTGATCACAACTTTACTTTTCTTCTACCGTTTGAATCTCTGGTTGCCATTTCATTAATTCAGTGGATAGCTGTCCAGAATATATTTTCTGAATTCAAGATAAAAATCTATTATGATTGTTTCTTCACATGAAATATGTTCATTACACTTAATTAGTGTCAAATAAGACTTTTATAGGCACTAGGAAAAATGCTAAATTCAGAAGTAAAATCATCCTTGCTTATGGATTTCTTAAATTCACACCATTATTAAATATATATCAAATCCGGTAAATTTTCAGTTATGTTTCTTCTTCCAAAGCTCTTTTTACTTACTGGGAACAAGACAATAGGCACTGTAAACATGACTGCCACAAGGACTGCTAGACGAACCAGGAGAATTGGGGTGTCAAATGTATACACCTTGGTATAAGCATGAAGTAATTCATCTTCAACTTCTCCTACAGGAGGAACAAAGGCAGTCAGTACAATAAAATTAGCACTAGGTAAATAGGATAACATCTCATTGTGCATTGAAAGAAATTATCTTATATTTAATAGGAGGTCCTAGATATCAGTTGTAAGTAAAACCATCCCTATAGTGGGAGAGTTGGGGACTAAATGAGACAATGAGAGTGAGCAAAAGGAGTCAAGGCCTAGCCCCTCTCATTAGAGGCTGATTACCCATGAGTAAACCTGTTCTAATCATAAGCCTGGGTCCAGAGCAGAGGAGTCCTTGGGTGGGAAATGGAATGGTAACTATGGTGACCCAGCAACAGTTTCTCAAAGTTAGAGCAAAGAACCGGTAAAAAAGTAAATATCTGTCAGTTGGGGAATGGCTAAGCAAATTATAATACATGAATGTAATGAAATATTGCTATACTTTTAGAAATGAAGAATATGGAGAAGCATGGGAAAACTGATATGAACAAAGTAAAGTATGCAGAACAAGGAAAATAATACACACAACTACAATATATAAATGGAAGGAACAATAACAAAATTCATAAATTGACTTCTATGTAATTATTAATGATTAAGTTTAGCCCTGAAAAAGAAAGGAAATAATGCACCTGCATCCCTTCTTTATAGAGATAAGAAAGACTGTGGGTATAAAACACTGCATTCACTCTAAGATTTGGTTAATGTGTTGATTAGTTTTTCTGAACTGCTTTGCTTTTCTTTTGTCTCCTTTTAACATTCTTTGATACAACGGATAACTCTCTGGGTAGGGGAGGAGAAAGGATATATTTGGAAATGAAAATGATATAAAAACAAAAGATAATAAAACATTTTAAAGGATAAAAAAACTGTTTGTTTTACATTTGAGTAAAAATGACAGTGACTCCAAGAGGTTACTTTCGAAACAAGAAGATATTTAATGTGTGATAGAATTGCATACATTGCATACCATAAAAAAATTAAAGAAAATGAGACAAAAAAGAAAAAAGCTATAGCAACCAATAGCAAAAGTACTTTCTGTATTCTATGATATGGTTCACATCGACAATTAGTTCATATCTAACACTGTCCTGAGAGAATGACTAATGGATAAAGAAAAACAAAAACATAAGGAAAACTCTCCCTTGGTGCCACCTCACTCAGAGGCTGAACTTGACGTGAACAGTTTGATTTACCAAATCAATGGAAATGATATGTAACACCAGATTCAACAGCCCCTTCCAGAAAGACTATGAATACAGTTATAATTTTTTTAGGGTTAATGGAATCTTGTGGAGTTCAAATGTAACTATGATATGAAAAGAGTCTATGAGAAGACTGGAAGTTTAACTGTCATTCAGGAGGGACTTTTTAAAAATTTATTTATTTATTTATTTTTAGTTTTAAACATTCACTTCCATAAGCTTTTGAGTTTTAAACTTTCTCCCCCTCCTTTCCTGCCTCCCTCCCCAAGACGGCATGCCATCTGATACAGGCTCTACATATACATTCTTATTAAACATATTTTCACACTAGTCATGTTGTAAAGAATAATTAGAACCAATAGGAGGAACCACAAGAAAGAAGAAACAAAACAGAAGGAAAAAAAAAAGAACAAATAGTATGCTTCGTTCTGCATTCAAACTCCATAGTCCTTTCTCTGGATTGAGACTTTTGGAGATAGATCTTTGCATTGCTGAGAAGAGCTAAGTCTATCAAAGTTAGTCATCATACAAAGTGGCTGTTGCTTTGAACAGCCTGGTTCTGCTCACTTCACTCCACATCAGTCCATACAAGTCTTTCCAGGTTTTTCTGAAATCCGCCTGCTCATCATTTCTTATAGCACAATAGTATCCCATTACATTCATATACCACAACTTGTTCAGCCATTCTCCAATTGATGGACATCTCCTCAATTTCCAATTCTTTGTCACCACAGAAAGAGCTGCTATAAATATTTTTGTACATGTGAGTCCTTTTCCCATTGTTATGATCTCTTTGGGATACAGCCCTAGAAGTGGTATGCACATTTTTTATAGCCCTTTGGGCATAATTCCAAATTCCTCTCCAAAATGGTTGCATCAGTTCACACCTCCACCAACAATGCATTAGTGTTCCAATTTTCCCACACCTTCTCCAACATTTATCATTTTCCTGTTTTGTCATGTTAGCCAATCTGATAGGTGTGATGTGGTACCTCAGAGTTGTTTTGATTTGCATTTCTCTAATCAATAGTGATTTAGAGCATTTTTTCATATGAATATAGATAACTTTAATTTCTTCATCTGAAAATTGCCAGTTCATATCATTTGACCGTTTATCAATTGGGGAATGACTTGTATTCTTATAAATTTGACTTAGTTCTCTATATGTTTTAGAAATGAGGCCCTTATCAGAGACACTCATTGTAAAAATTCTTTCCCAGTTTTCTGCCTCCCTCCTAATCTTGGTTGCATTGGCTTTGTCTGTGCAAAAACTTGTCAATGTAATGTAATCAAAATTATCCATTTTGCATTTCATAATGTTCTCTATCTCTTGTTTGGTCACATATTCTCCTGTTCTTCCTAGATCTGATAGGCGAACTATTCCTTGCTTCCCCAGTTTGCTTATAGTATCAGCCTTCATATCTAAATCATGTACCCATTTAGACTTTATTTTGGTATATGGTATAAGATTTTGTTCTATGCCTAGTTTCTTCCATAATCTTTTCTAGTTTTCCCAGCAGTTTTTGTCAAATAATGAGTTCTTATCCCGGAAGCTAGGGTCTTTGGGTTTATCAAACAGTAGATTACTATAGTCATTGACTCTTGTGTCTTGTGTACCTAACCTATTCCACTGATCCATCACTCTATTTCTTAGCCAGTACCAAGTAGTTTTGATGATTGTTGTTTTATAATACAATTTAAGATCTGGTATGGCTAGGCCACCTTCTCTAGCATTTCTTTTTATTAATTCCCTTGATATTCTGGATCTTTTGTTCTTCCAGATGAATTTTATTATTTTTTCTAGCTCTATAAAATATTTTTGGCAGTTTGATTAGTATTGCACTGATTAAGTAAATTAATTTAGGTAGAATTGTCATTTTTATTATATTAGCTCAGCCTACCCGTGAGCAACTGATGTTTTTCCAATTATTTAGATCTGACTTTATTTGTGTGACAAGTGTTTTGCGGTTGTATTCATATAGTTCCTGGGTTTGTTTCAGCAGGTACACTCAAATATTTTATAATATCTACAATAACTTTAAATGGAATTTCTCTTTCTATCTCTTGCTGTTGGGTTTTGTTGGTAATATATAGAAATGCTGATGATTTATGTCTGTCTATTTTATGTCCTACAACTTTGCTAAAGTTGTTCATTATTTCAAGTAGTTTTTTACTTGGTTCTCTAGGATTCTCTAAGTATATCATCATATCATCTGCAAGGAGTGATAGCTTTGTTTCTTCTTTGCTTACTCTAATACCTTCAATTTTTTTTCTCTTATTGCTAAAGCTAACATTTCTAGTACTATATTGAACGACAGTGGACATCCTTGTTTCACCTGATGTTATTGGAAATGCTTCTAGCTTATCCTCATTACATATAATGCATGCTGAAGATTTTGGGTAGATGCTACTTATCATTTTAAGGAAAACTCCATTTTCCTATGTTCTCTAGTGTTTTTAATAGGAATAGGTATTATATTTTGTCAAAAGCTTTTTCTGCATCTATTGAGATAATCATGTGGTTTCTGTTAGTTTTGTTGTTGATATGATCAATTATGCTAATATTGAACCAGCCCTGCATTCCTGGTATAAATCCTACCTGGTCATAGTTTATTATTCTCATGATAAGTTGCTGTAATCTTTTTGCTAATTTTTTTTAAAATTTTTGCATCTATGTTCATTAGGGAAATTGGTTTATAATTTTCTTTCTGTTTTGACTCTTCCCAGTTTAGGTATCAGCACCATATTGGTATCATAAAAATAATTTGGTAAGACTCCTTCTTCACCTATTTCCCCAAATAGTTTATATAATATTGGAATTAATTGTTCTTTAGATGTTTGATAGAATTCACTTATAAATCCATCTGGCCCTGGAGATTTTTTCCTAGAGAATTCATTGATGGCTTATTCAATTTCTTTTCCTGAGATGGGGTTATTTAAGTATTTTACTTCCTCATCTGTTAATCTGGGCAATCTATATTTTTGTAAATATTCATCCATTTCACTAAGATTGTCGAATTTATTGGCATACAGTTAGGCAAAATAGTTCCTAATTATTGTTTTAATTTCTTCTTCATTGGTAGTGAATTCATTTTTTTCATTTTTGATACTGGTAATTTGGTCTTCTTCCTTTTTTTAAAATTAAATTAACCAAATTATCTATTTTATTGGTTTCTTCATGAAACCAGCTTTTAGTTTTATTTATTAGTTTAATAGTTTTCTTAATTTCAATTTTATTAATCTCTCCTTTGGTTTTCAGTATTTCTAATTTGGTATTTAATTGGGGATTTTTAATTTGTTCTTTTTCTAGTTTTTTTCTTTTAATTGCATGCCCAATTCACTGATCTCCTCTTTCTCTATTTTATTCATGTAAGCATTTAGAGATATAAAACTTCCCCTAAGCACTGCTTTCACTGCATCTCATAAGTTTTGGTGTGTTGTCTCATCATTGTCATTCTCTTGGATGAAGTTATTGATTGTTTCTATGATTTGTTGTTTGACCCATTCATTCTTCAGGATTAGATTATTTAGTTTACAATTAATTTTTAGTCTATCTTTCCATGAACCTTTATTACATATATTTTTTATTGCATCATGATCTGAAAAGGATGCATTTAGTATTTCTGCCTTTCTGCATTGGATTGTGAGATTTTTATGTCCTAGTGTGTGATCAATTTTTGTGTAAGCACCATGTGCCACTGAGAAAAAAGTATATTCCTTTCTATCCCCATTCAGTTTTCTCCAGACCTACCATATCTAACTTTTCTAAAATTCTACTCACCTCCTTAACTTCTTTCTTATTTATTTTGTGGTTA